TAATCAAATATTAATTTTTTTCCGACTTCATATTTAATTTGTTAGTTTGAAATATAATTTTCAAATATATTTTTATTAAATTTTTTTATTGTTGTTGTTGTTCTAACCTAGCATAAAAAGTTATTCAAATGTCATAAAAGTAGTGCTACTGAGATGACGGTATTTTGCCGCTTAAAAATCCGGGTCCTTTTGGGTTTTGGAAGAAACGAGTCTAAGAAGTCGGCATATAACCGGATTTATGTACGGCGAAGTATCCTCATCGCAGTGGCATATTTCTAGAAACTATTTGAATAATGTTTTACCACAGCAATTAAAGTAAAATGAGTATTTTCGGGGTAATGAACATAGGTTCTGGAAAAGCTTCCTGGGGAGAAAATGACTCGTGCAACATTTCAAAACGATTCAGACAGACAGACGGATTTCCGTGAAAAAACTTAAAATGAACACCCCCCAGGTTACGGAAAAGTTATATATGAAAAAATCTAGAATCTCGGGTTTTCTTAATCTAAATCGGGTTCATAGAAAAAAATAATACGTCTGCAAAAATGTCTTAATTTTTTGAGTATACTCTTATACTTGAATTAGCTTATGCACATAAATAATATAAAATAACAATTTCAACAATATTATTTTATATCTTAAAGAACTAAACGAAAAAGACCACAATAACTTTTACTTACCCGCAAAGCAAGCCAAGTGATCCATTTTATGTTCCAAATGATCGAACTTCAAATCTGAGACATAAGTCAAACCACCTGAACTTGTGCGTATCATGTGCTCATTAATCGCCACCATGGCTTCGTCGAACATTTCGCGAGCCTCCTCGTCTACTTGGCCTGACTGCAGCCAAGCCTTTAACAGATACTCATAGAAACTGTCGCCTAGAGCACCCAGCGACATGTGCACTAAAGTAAAAAAAAAAACAACAATTGATTTCAAAAATTTCTCATCTAACCACAATTTACACTCACTTTGTCCCCACTTGCCCGTCTTGGGGTTAATGAAATTTGGGTATAGACCCTTTGGCTTTTCAATCTCCTTCAAAACTTGACGTATAGTTTGTACACGCTCTTTGTACAGCGGATTACCCGTTATATCACTCAGATAAACGAATTCGCAGTGCAATGTACCAGCTTCGGATAAAATGGAGCTGCCACCTGAAGCCCAGCCATAATTTCTACTCGCACCGGTACGTGTGTTTACCAACGCATATGGTATACCGGTGGGCGTCTGGAAGGCGGGCAACAGCTTGTCAGCGATATGCTGTGCTTTCTCTTTATATAAATTATCACCGGTGAATGCGTAAAGTGTCAACAAGCCACCCACAAAGCGTATATTCGTTTCGAATACAGACAGGTCGGCGCTAACGTTGTCCAGCGAAAACTTTCGTTCAATCCAATCGCGTCCCTCTTGGTACTCTTTCTCCAAACCCATTAGATAGAGTGTGTCCAGACCATCGACTATGGTGGCGCCCAGATCGTAAATGCCAAAAATACTGCCCGAATGTGGACGTTGACTGAGCGGTCGAAGTTCGTTCTTGCCCCATGCGTAGAGCTTGTAGTTGTCCCAGGCATGCTGCATCATCTGCAAATGATAGTGGAATATATTTTTGTTAGTTGATGTTGTAATGTATAGAAAAAATTTGAGAAGGATGTGGAAATGTTAAATATAGTGAAATCACATAGGAGAATTTTCGTTCTGCGCCTGTTTCCAAGAGTTATCTGTTAATACAATATAAGAAACATTTCTTTAGAAGCAGAGAGGCAGCACACACAGTGGCTGCCAGAGATATGCATATATTCTCAGATCCAGGCCACAACGGCGTTCCGGGGACCGAAATAGCTATAAAAATACCAAAAGTACAATTCGCAGGGGATGATGTACAAAGAAACGGAAGGAAACCACACAAGCTTTATACTGACAAGGATTCGAAAATGTTGCAGAACGATTGTTGGTCTAATTAAAGGTCACACTGACAGCACATGCGAGCCGTATGAGCCTCACTAACGGTGACACATATGGAAAGTGCAGAGAAGTGGGTATGTGAGCGACGCTGGACAAACTCCTCTACTTATGTCCGGCTTAGCTAGAACTCGACTGAGATGAAGTATTAAAATAAAATATTAAGTCCAATTCCACCAATTATGAAGTGATGGCAGTGTATAGTGTGTTGTCATGATGCGAAAGCACTTTTTACTTCCCCGAATGAGAGCGTTCCGTCGGCAATTCGACGTGGTATGACATTGTAGACTGTGACTGTTTTGCACTTTCTTAGACAGAAGATGTAGATCGCAGAAACTGAATTCACGACCACCATCTGTCCGGCCGATAGGACAGACTTCGCATATTTCAAGGCAGGTCTGCCTGTCACTCTATACTCTTCCGGATTGTTCTTAAACATATTCCACTGCTGTGAAGTGATCTCTTTAATGCGTTTTTGGTTTTGAGTGAGTAAAAAGCGACATCCATCGGGACGACAGTGTTCTTAAGCAAAATAGTTCTTTGAGGTGTCTCAATTATCTACTTGAGTTGATACCAGAGTTTGACTCATTTAAAGACTTACTTGTGATCACGTCCATTTTTGGAGATCATAATTGAACGAATGGAATCAAGGTTCACAGCAGCCAACGGCTCTTTGCTTTCGCTGCGTAATATTCTTTTCATCCAAAAACAAGAACGAAATCACCAATCGATTGTACACTCTTCCATTTATCTAAAATCTGCGGACAGGGCCGCCTCAACGAGCGGTCAAAACAACAGCAAACAGAAGAGGCTTCCAAGAAGTGTAAAATTAGCACCTCGGGCGGCCCACTAATCTTCACAAGCGAAGCCATCGAGAAACAACAAGAGCTGTTGTTTATTTTTGTAAAAAAACCAACTAATTTTGTCGAAGCCTTTGTATCAAATAATTGTAGAAAATGTCACAAATTAATTCCAGGAAAAGGGAATTAAACTTGTTGACAAAGGCAAAGAGCGCAAGTACGGACAAAGTGAAACGTCAATGAAGGCGACCAAAACACGCTTTTAGTGGAATTATAGTACGAACGAAGAAAAATAAGAGCAAATAAGAGCAAAAGCAATGCTAAAAAGTATTACTACAATCAATAGAAACGTATTAAGCAACAAAAATTCATTAACACAAAAATATTGCGTATACGCCGTGTACAGCGTTCGAGTGGCCTCCAAAGTTAAATGCTAGATCTTGTTTACCAATGAACCTAATTATTTTTATTTGCTCAATAAAAGTGCAAAATTTTAATTGCAGCATGAACAAGAAGAGCAACAACAAAGGTTCCCATTGTTTACAACAACACACAAGTGAGTGCAAATGGGAGTGTGCGTGTGTGTGAATGCATAAATTTTATACGAGAATTTGTGTGTGTATATGTGTGTGTGTGTAATTGCATGGGTTCCCATTTGCGTGACGCAAGAGTATCTGATTACACCGAAGCGATTACAAAGCATCCCAGTTGTGGCAATATTTCTATGCGCCGGACTAATAGCAATTAATGCCAAATGATGCGTCACAATAATGCCAACAATAGCAACAATGAAAACAACAAAGGTTGAGGCATTGCATTGCACTGGCTACTCGCCCATAACATAACATGTGAGCGTGTAAGCGTCTGCAGAATTGCTTATAAATTTCAATTAAGTTCACAAACTGACAACTTACAAACAGACATACATATGTAGTTTATGCGCATGCACACACTCATACATACACCTATACAAATATATGTATGTATGTATGAATATGTGCACGTGTATGCATATGGAAACTTGGAAGGTTACGAAGCGTTGCAGCGTTGGCGCAGCGGTGCCTGCAAAGGCAACAAATCAAATAAATTGCAAATATTGTATGAACTTGAACTGCGCTTTGGGAGACACACTCAGCCGAAGAAATTATAATGTGACCGTGAAATATGTTGATTAAATTTGATTTAAGCCTTGCTTATAGCAAAAGCGATAATTGTGTGTGCCCCACAATCACTGTTATCAGCACTTTACTACATAAAGGGCAGTATTTTTTAAAACTGGCATTCATTTTGGAACACCCTGTATTTAATTCCAATCTTGCGTTAATTTTTACACACCCTTTATTTTGTTGAAAATAATATGTAATTTCGCTATAATTTTCTCTTCCTCGTATCACCCAAAACAAAAAAAAATTTCAAAAGTTAGGTTAGAACAGATAGTTTAACGGCTTGCTCTTTGTGATAATAATACCCAATGACTACCATTGATATTAAATAAATTGTAAAGAAGCATAAAAGCATCCCAACGAGGGGGATGACACCATTTTCTAAGAAGAACTGTTACGTTTTCAGCTAGTTCTCAAGGGTATTCAAGCTAGCCTCGACAAAGCCGTCATCGACATCTTCAAGACAACTGCAACAACTAATATTTAAGTGATTTTAAGTACTACCGCATAGACAATATACAATCTGTTTATCTATAACTAGAGTGAGACGATCTTGCTGACAACAAAAAGCTCTCCTAACTTCTTGTGATTATCTCTGAGAACCGTAAGGAAGCTATTGGAAAGGTTTTTACACATTTTAATCAGATAGTTATTTTTGGTTCTTTTTCAGAGCTGAAAAGAGTATATTAAATTTGAGTATATTATTATTTGCCACGAAGTTTGTAACTAAAAGGAAACGTCGAAGACCCTATAAAAATATATATACTTTATATACGCGAACGAGTCCTTTGCTTTTTAAAAAAAATTTCGCTTCCAAGAAGCTGCTCATTTGCCGGTTCACCACCGATATTGGACCACTTAAGCATACAGCTACCATACAAACTGAACGATCAGAATAAAGTATTTGTATGGAGAATTTTTTCATTTGATGAGATATCCTCACCAAATTGGGCATGGGTTATTCTCTAAAGAAATGCTGCAATCTCCGAAGAAATTCTTCAGTTTAAGTCACTAAAGCATATAGCTATCATACAGACTGACCGATCAAAATAAAGTTATTGTAAAGAATATTTTGTATGTCTCAAATTATGTGATTTCACCCTATAATACAATTATTTTTAGTCTGTTGTCTCTCTGAAATTTCAAAAAAATAACTATCAGCTAGAGTTGCCAGTATTATAACCAATATTCATTTGGTTAGAATGGCTGCAATGAAAGCCTTTCACTGCTTGATGTTCAATAATGTCTGGCTATATGCTCTGTATTCTCCGGATACTGCTTTCTCAGATTCACTATTGATTTGGTGTAGTGAAGTTGCTACAATTTGTTCCCCGAAGGAGATATTGTTCAGTTAGCTGGAAACGTGGTTCTATAAAGTTCCAAAGTGCTGCTGTTAGATTTTATAGCCAAAAAAATTGTAGTAGAAAACTAATGTACTTTCTTGTTAAGACCAAAGCCCGCTAAGCGCTGTCTATTATTCCAACTTTGAGTGTGTTGTACTCACTTACAAGTATTTTAAAGTAATTTTTTGAACTCTTTAGCAACTGGTCTCTTCCTTAACCTTTGCACATCTCTTCCGAAAATATTTACCACCTTCACTGTTTTTCTCTATATAAAGCTAGGGTCAGATATTTAATTAAGTAAGTTGAGGACAAATTAGGTTTGGGCCAATGAAAGTTGAAGTCAAATGAATGAGTAGAGACTAAAATTTAATTAGCATTTGACAATTTTTTTCGTTCAAAAATTATTGTGGCATTCGGTTTGGACAGGTATACTTTTAAGTTTTAGTTACTATTTATAAAAGTAAGAGAATGGGGTACATATCAACACTTTCTAATTTATTCCTCATCTTCTTTAAGATATCGGCAAGGCTTTCGAACTTTTTGAACCGTCGAACAACCCTCAATAATGATATAAAGATCTTTAACAACATCTCACTGTGCTTTAAATGGGTTCTATAAAGAATTTTGAAAATTTTTGGTAATACTTTAAATTGATATCGTGATTTTTTATGCTTTTTTTTCACTCTTGACTAAATTTCATTTAACTTCGTTTTCGTAACTTTTAAACTACATTTAAATTCCCGTAATAAAGTGTAAATTTGCCTAAACACAACCACACAACACGCACCCGATTGTTGCCTACACGGTCCATTGGGCATGAAAACATTGCGCTTTACAAATTGTTGCAAATCGCTGAGTTATTGTTTAGGTAAACTTTGGTTTTTTGTTGCGTGCAAATTTCGGTTGCGAAAAAGCACGCTACAAATTAAACAGAACAATAAAGCAAAGATAAACCTGAAAAATACCATATAATGGACAGACAATGCCGGCGGTGAATTCGACGCTATCACACCAAAATATCTCACAATACAATAATAACAAAAAATGACAAACTCTACCTATTTTCTCAATGGCAAATAATCGTGAGCACCAAGCGCCGCTTTTCTCCGTCATAGTATTGGTGATAGCGGTGAATGACGCGCTCGCGTTCATATCGCAACCAATTTACGGAATTTTCTTTGTTTGTGCCATTTCATTTTATTTTGTCTTTTCGCTTGGCTGCATTTTTACGGGGTTCGGTGCTCACCGCTCCTTCCAACGCGAAAAGTCAACACTTTTGTTATGCACCCTACGAAAGCCCCAACCCCCTCGCCGGG